ATGCGTGATTAATGGTTCGTAGAGGCCTAGGCAGCAAGTTTTTGTTTTTGAAGAGTGGTTTAGGACTTAAAGATGGAACTAAGGTTTGGTTGTCTGGTTTCATATAAAAGGTGCAAATGTGGGGGTTGGCCCTGGGTGGGGTTCTGGCCAAAATCCGGCAGATTGCGTGACAAGAAGATTGAATAAACATCAATTAAAAGATAATTTTTGGTGGAATGGACCGCTTCTGAAAAACTCGCCGGAGACATGGATTGTAACTCATAAGTTGTTCAAAAGAGAAAGAGACCAAGATAGTGATAGCCTTCAATCGCTCGATCAAGTGCTCTTCCAACAAATTGAATCAAGAGCACTACGTGACCCCTTATACTTACATATCTTCGAGCAGTGAAACGCTACAACTATAAGACGATCAAACGAATCACTGCCAATGATGAGACTCATAAGAGCATATGTTGAAAGAGGTAACCAACACGAAAAAGCACTATCCGATTTTCTTTCTTGCTTGGGCAAAGTCCTACAAGTCAAGATAAACAAATTACTGGAGAGAAAATTTCTATTGCAGCAAAGTAATAGTACAAGCCCACCAGAGAGTACTCTGTACACTAGCAATAATAAAATCTATGCCTCACCTCATTATACGATTGGACAAAGAAGGCCTTCTAAGATGTCAAGGACGATTAGGAAGAAGCCGCGTATCATTCGAAAATGCGTCGAATGTCAACGCTTGAATAAATTGCCATACAATTATCTCAACCAATGAGCATGCGGGACCTATTTTGGTCCTTTGTCAATAAAAGTTATTAAAGAAACTACTGGTATATGCTATGGAGCGATCATCACCTGCATGGTTACGCGGCTCATACATTTGGACGTGGTTTCGGACCACTCGCATTTTAGTAGCATTTTTGCACAAGTGACAATGCTACACATTTCTACTAGGAGAAGAAATCCTTGCGGAATGCATCAGAATTCTAGAACAAGATGTCACTCTCACCAAGGAAATCAGCACTCGCGAAATCCAGTGGAAGCACATTACACATCTTGCACCTTGGCAAGGAGGATTCTATGAGCGACTCATCAAAACGGTCAAACACTCGCTTTATAAAACCCTTAAAAAGTCACGCCCTACTTTTGAAGAACCATCCTCATTGAGATTGAGGCATTGCTCAACAGGAGGCCTGCACTCTACATGAGCTTAGAAGCGTGTAACGAAACCATTATTCGACCGATTGACTTCCTACATGAAATTACATTGAGCTACCCCTTGGAGACCTTCAGCTCGTCTAACGATGATCCGTCTTATCTGCCATTGGAAGAACAAGTTCTTATTCACACAAAACTACAAGCTATTTAAGCGCTGAAAAACTATTGTCAAGCAACGTAAAAATTCTGAACCTTTGGAAGACAGACTAACGTCGCTTCGAAAAAAGCATAAATATCAGATAAATCGCAGCAAATCCACATCTCTTCCACGAAAGGACGACTGTGTCTTGATATCGGATCCTGTGCAATTAAGACATTGCTGGAGAATGGGTCGTATCAAAGAATTAGTTCTGAGCGCCGACGGAGACGCCAGGGAAGCAATCATTATGCTCCCATTAAGAAGGCAAATACGTAGGCCAGTCAACCTTCTTGTACCGCTCGAGCTAGAAGACATCTGCACGAAGAGAGACAAACTTTTGCAAGCTGAAAAAGAAAAGAAACATTTTGGAAAGCAACCCAATCGGGATACGCTGTGAGACCGCGTAAAAAATTAATTAAGCTGTTTGATTAAGATTAATTATCGAAGAGGGCACAACAACTTTGCACTTGGCAAAATCTCCAATACTCACTTCATTCATGAATTCTCTGCATGTGCAGGCTTTCTCTTTCTTTTAGCCCAGCTCTTACCGAGTGCAGCTCGCAGACGGTCGCACCGTTTTTAGCGTTGTCTACTTCTCATACGACATGGTTGAGTTTTATGGTTCCCGCTACGTGCGAATGTAATGCTTTTTGAGACGCGGATGTTGTAACTTTCTGATCTTGACTCGGTCTTGAGTTGTGCTTTGTTGACAAGTCATAATGCTGTGGCACTCCTTTGAAGCAAGACGTATGATGTAAGCCTCGACATTTGAAGCATGTTCGCTTTTGACATTGAGAAGTCAAATGTTGCGGCGACGCGCAGATAAAGCACAGTTTGTGCTCGTGCAAGTACTGGGAACGCTCTTTCAGAGTAACGTACTTTGTGCACGCAATGGACTTGTGGTTAGCATTGCAGTACATGCATGATCGGACATAACTCTGTTGGATGTCTTTGAATGCTTTGCCTTTGCGAGGAAACATGTCTCGCTTCTTTTTATTCCCTGCTTGTATGTAAGTACTTTCTCTTCGCAGTCGATGACTTCTTCGATAGCGTCTAAAAGGTTGCGCATGCGAAATGGCACGCCCTGCATCGCTGCTTGCTTTTTCGTCAGAACCTCACGTTGAATATAAACAGAAAATTTTGACAAAACTTGTTTTTGCACCCATTTACTATCGTACTCTCTCCTTTACGCTATAGTTGAGCCACGATAGCTTGTAGTTGTTCAAACAGACTTCTCTGATCTCTTAGAAGAGATGATCGTAATGAACTGAGTTCGAGTCTTTCGATAAGACGGCGAATAAGTTCATCAGGGTCTGCATACTTATGATGAAGAAATTTCAACGCTTGAGAGTAATTTTCCCTTAGTAATTACAAATTTCCTGACGGCCTCTCGTGCATCTCCTTTTGATGCGTTCAACTGATAGTTAAACTTGTAGAGTTCTGGTATCTCCTGAGAGTAAACGTTTGCGTTAAAAGTTCCCAGAAATTATCCCACTCCCAAATGTTTCCGCAGAATGAGGGTGTCGGAAGCGTGGGAAGTTCAACTGTTTTTGTTTGAATAGTTGGTGATCTCTGTTGTTGTTGTTCGCTTACTTGTGCGCCGACACTTGTCGCGCTGGTGCACGCTTTAAAAGCGCGCAGTCTTGCTTATAATATGAACAGATTGTCGAACGCCTATCGGTAAGCGAGGATTCCGCTGTTGCTGAGTACTCCTCAAAATCTTCCACTTCTTTTGGTTGTGGTTCGCTCAAACTTGTGACGGCAAAAGCGTAATCTTGCAAAAGATGCTCAATTTTGGCTGTGGTGA